AAGGAGGGCTGCAAGGAAAGCCAACATTTTGGCCCTAGCCTTCCAAGGTCAATTAAGACTCAGGACATATGAGAACTTGTACTGTAACGTCATGCAACTCAGTAGTGTCCCAAATTTCCTGATCAAGGAGATCATGGGGCCAAAGAGGAAAGTGAGTGATGATGTAGAGTGTGCCTAAGGAGAGTCACATGGAGAGAAAACATTCGCTCAGGCTTTCACAGAAAGCACATTGGCCTAGCAATGGATGTGACTCATCCACATGGCTGACACTGACAAAGCTTCTATAATCTGAGGTACAGGATCTCAGGATAAATCCTGAGGGGATTTCATCTACCTTATCAGATCCAAAAGCTACAACTCTTGTTGCACAGGTCCTGCTTTACCTTGGTCTTAACCATCCAGAAGAAAAGTATAAAAACGAAGTATAACAAGTAAAGCCATGCTGTTATGTTGAGCTGTAGGGGACTCAGGTCAACAAATTCTGACATTGCCAGTCAAGTGAAAGACCCAATACTATTATGAACTACTGGACTCTTTTAGAATATTTTGCTGAGTTTACACACCTATAATATTCAAATAATGGAACTTAACCCAAAAAAGGGGATACAAATGCAGAAAAGATGGGGAAACTACAAAGATTTAGTAAATGAGGAGGGGAAGAGGAATAGATGGGAGAGGAAGAGAAAGGGAATGAGAATCCATTTATATCATGCCCAAATCCTCTAGATGAGTGTGATCATTATATATACCTAAGTGTACCAATAAATTTAAATGATAAACATAATTTGTAGAAACAAATCATAAAGGTGGAACAATATAAAATAAGGAAAATGTGTTATATGTACAGCAGAGAACACTGCTCAGCCATGAAGATGACCGACGTGAGCTCTTTGTAGGAAAAAGAATGAACGTTTATGCCCTAACATGAGGTGAAATCAGTCACAGAATGTTAAATATCAAACAGTCTCTGTAACACAATATAAGCAAGAAGAGCAAAGGAGAGATGACTGTGAAGAGGGAGTTAGAGTAGCAGGCACACTGGGAACGCGGGAAGGGAGGGAAGAAGGGAAGAGGAGTGAAAAATCAGATGGGAAATCGGCACGAACCAGTTTGAAACATGAATATACCTTTTATGTATTACGAACATACAATCACCACAAAAACAAAGCAAACACCACGGTGAAGGTGGTGCTGAATTCCTGTTTTAAGAAAAGATCCTAAAGTAATTGTCTGGGGCACACTTAGAACCCTCAGGAAAGGCCTCCGTAACAGGGCACCACACCCAGTGGAAGACTCATCACCTGCCAAGGGGAGAATGTGCTCCTTTCCCCACTTCCTACCGGCTGCATTTGACCTTGGAGGAGCATCTCATGGAGGGCGCGGGCCACCGCATACACAGCATTGTATATATTGTAACTCGCGTCACTCATGGCTGGGTTAAAACGATTCGCAGGCAACCGCGCCAAGGAGGCGTTGGCTGTGCAGCCCAGCAAGGCGCAGTCGGAATCAGAGATCAAGCACTTGAAAGTCCAGTACCAATAGCGACGGAAGAAAGTGTCTCCTGGGTACCTGGAGGGATCCGCCATCTGGAGAAAATGTTCAAAGGCAGAAATCTCCTCGCGGTGATTTGAAAAAATGATTGTCCCGTGGAATGAGTCAAGGATGAACTTTTGGCCAGTCATGTCCGTATGCCACTGTGAGTTTGTGACCCAGACTCTCCATGTCACTAAGTGGAGCCCTATATTGTAGTTCACATCGTTTAGACTCTCAGGATCATAGTAAACGATGACCACGTTTGCAGCGGATGATTCTCCAGCCAAGAATTCATGGTGCTGTGTATGCATGATATATGACTCAGCGTGATTTGAGATCATTTTCACAAATGCCACACAGACTCTGTTCCTGTCCATCTCTATTCTGACATCTGAGAGGAACTGAAGCCCTTTGGAGCCTTCTGTAATGACCAGCCCCACCCAGCTCCAGCTGAAATAAAGCATCAAGGACACCATGCCTTGGGGCAGAGACGACTCCCTTGGGGCCACTTGATAGAGAGAAGGAAACTGGCCATGGTCACTCAGGATAGGGTCAAAAGAGCCAAAGGTCAGCTAAAATGAAAATTGAAAGTGATGAGAATAAAGCTGAAGCAAACACGATCATAAGCATGAAGGTGATTACCAACCAGAAGGCGAGAGCTGTTCTTCCCATGTAGGAAGCGATCTCGCTTCCTGAGAGCTTTTTTATAGCTGACTAGACCCTGACTATGTAGAAACTTTTGTCCTTTCTGCCCCTCCCTCTTTCTGCTATAGATGAAAAGCATTAGGGTACCCCGTTAATTTCTATGTCCTTACTGTTTGAGAGTGATCCCTGAACCCAGGGTCCTCGTCCTAACGTCTTTAGGAACGCGATAAAGGCGAGAGTACAGACCTGATTCCCTCATGCCCATGCCCCCTCACCTGAGGGAACTTGTAGAGCTCCAGCAGGGGTCCGCTTTGGGCAGCTGTGGCCCAGGACGTTCCTGTTAGCAGTGCTACAGCCCTGCTCTCGCTCCCACAGGCGTAGTTAGGAATCCCGCGCTGTCCCGTGTGCAAAATGAGGACATTCGGCACCGTATTCCCATCATTGTAAAGGGTGTTGTGGGACTCATAGCCCAGAGACACGTTGGGTAAAAGATGGGGATTCCCATTGATCTCCTCAATGGCAAACATGAAAGCCAGAACATTTTGGTAGCTGTTGGGCATAAGTCTGCATGGAGAGCACAGAGGTCCTTAGGGAAGAGACAGAATCTCTGTTCTCGAATCTCGTCCAATACCACTTAGGAATAGATTGCTTGTGTTCCTCCCCCAAATTCCTGTCCTACAACACTAAACTGGGACATGGTGGCTTTAGAAGGCTGAGTTTTGGATGGTAGGTCGTGTTAGATTGTTAGGTCATAAGGGTGAGTGTCTTATGACTGATACAAGTGTCCCTAAAAGAAGACAAAAATAATCATCAGGTAAGTTTAAACAACATCTGAAATCAAGTTAAACACCCAGAAAATCGGTTCTTGTGAGTACTGGGTTTTTTACTGTCACTGATTCTGCATTTAAAGCAAGCTACACAACTTAGATTCCTAGAGGTGCTTACTAACTGCTTGCTGCTTAGAGGAATTGGCCCCAGTTTGCAAAGGAAATGGAAAAAGAGATTATATTTATGATCATTTTTGTAGATACTGCTCTGTCTCAAGAAATAAAGCTGATGCATGTACTATATATCATTAAATATTTTGTAATGCAGAAATGATAGTCACATGGAGAACAAATACCAGGGAAGGAGGAGGAGGAGGAGGGCACAGGTCAATGAAAGGCCGGGGACCCTCCAAGCAATAGGGCACCTGGGTGCTGCTTCCACTGCAGCAGCCTGGCGTTGTGGCTCCTAAGCTTCTGCCCTGTGGAAGTTACCACATCTGCCACCATCAAAAGCAGGAAGCTCACATGTACTTCGGAGCCCATAAACAGATTAGAAAGGCAGACACATTTAGGAGAATAAAGGAGAGATTGCAATGAAAACATTAAGAACCTAAGAAGCACCACACTGTGTGGTTCTAAATTTATCTTCTTTTTCAGTACTGGGCTGGACCTGCATGCTGTCATCCTGAAGCAAATCCACAGGCACACTTATGTCATTTCATTTGAGGTTGGGTCTCACTAGGTCTCTGAGTTCCAAGGGCTCAAATGTACAATCTTCATGAGTGTGGGATTCCAGGCATGAGTCATTCAGTTTAGCTTTGTCTCCCTTTTTGATTTTAAAAACATATATACAGGATGGCTGAGATGTTTGTACACCTAATTTTCATCAGTTTTAATGTTGAGAAATTTCACCTTGACTAACTTTGCAAGCTGATACCTGTGATTTGAGCAAATACATCAAGAATAGCAATGTGTAGAGGATTTTCTGCCGAGTTCTGGAGCCCCCAGACCCAGTCCTAGCCCAGGTCCGGTGAGTGTGCGGAGAGTTTCCTGCTACCCTGCGCCGGCGGGACCAGTCCCAGCCCAGGCG